TTTTTTTTTTTTGAAAAACCCACACTGCCCTCTCTCCCCCCCCCTCTCTCTCTCTCTCTCTCTCTCTCTCTCTCTCTCTCTCTCTCTCTCTCTCTCTCTCTTTGCTGGTTCCTATGTGATTTAACCTCTTTTTCTTCACGGTTTATTCGTTTTCAATATATTCGTTTGTTTCTTCATATGCTCTCTTGCTATGAATAAGGCTTCTACATACTCTCCAATAAGTTTATAGCTGTGTTAATGTTAATCTTAATGCTTATTTCAATGTCTGACCTTTTCCAATAATGTAGCTTAATATTTTGCTTTTGTTTGAGTAATCCTTGACTATCTTAAATCTTTTAAGGAAGATAGCAATGAGAATCAACAGTTGAACGACGTGATGATCTATTCTGATTGCATCAGTGAAAAATGCTTTGTTTTTTATGCTCGTTTCCTTGTCGATGTTCAACGTACTGCTACTGTGCACCAGGAAGGTAAGTATTACCCTAAATTTCTTTGTAACGCTTAGTGAGTTCGTAATTTGAAAACTCACCCCGATGTAATACCGGCAAGATTGTTATTTCAATATTACCGAGCTATCGCAACCCTTCATTATGCTAATTTCACGCCTGTTTTCACAAATTCTCAATATATAAATTCGGAACAATAAGTGAAGTTGAGAAGACAATTTGTTTAAAACGTCTGGGAAATGAATATTTTAAACTAGTTTATTTGTAGGCTCGTGCGTGTAGTATCCACACCCGATGTGATAGCTGGCAACAGAAGTTTGCAGTTTTATTCTCTTCTCTCTTCAAATGTTTTTGTGTTCAGGTCGCAAACGCAAGAACTATCGGCGATCAAGAAGTGAACCTATGCTCCAAACCTTTGAAAATCTGACTCAGTTCAGGCGATTTCGGTCTCTGAGAGAGAAACGGGATGAGAAGTGAGCTATATATATGAAAAGGAAATTGATTTCCTTCCATAATTTTAGAATCATTGAAAATGGTATTCGCATGTCACCAGTATCAATAGCTTCATCAACAGAGAAACGTTGGAGCCAAAAACGTGCAATCCGAAGCCGAGTTGAACAACGTTTGGAGTCTATGGTATTTTTTATCAGTTTTTTCTTGGATTTGCTGTTCGAAACTTTAAAACTCATCATTCCCTCTGATTGGTCCTTCGGATATCAGGAAAGTGTTTCGAGAGACTCCCTCAATTCAAAAAACGATCCTCGAATGCTCTTTTCGAATTTTCTGAAAACACATCTCTCTCTCTCTGTTTAATCTTAAAAGGACTCAAATGATTAGTTATTTTCATTCATTTCTTTAATGATAGAACAAAACATTGTAATGAACTTTTCCTAGAAAGTGTGTTTGAATCTAAGATATATAGCCTAGATCTATTTCTATCTATCTATACATATATATATATATATATATATATATATATATATATATGTGTATGTATATGTATATATATACAAACGTGCATTTGCTAGAAACCGCTCTGGGTACTGTTACCATAGCAACTGCTCTAAAAGAGTATGATAGTTGTTTGTGGGTGAATATTTTATCTCTCCTCCTCTCTCAACCTTCCCTCTCTCTCTTGGCTCTCTTCCTCTTCTTTTATCTCTTTTTCTTCCTCTTTTTCTCTTCACTTCTTTCTCTTTTTTTTGTCTCAAATCACATTGAAATATTTCATCTCAAGAATAGAACAGATATGAAAGGAAGATGCGAGGAAGACTTTTTCTTGTTCGCTTGAGGGTTTCTTGCATGACATCATCCAGGTCTTCTTCTCAGGGGATTCACATTTTTTAAACCCACTTCTCAGTTCAACTGATCACACTTCTTAAAAGAACATAATGATCAAACTACCGGATGTTGACAAAATCAGCTTTTGTACCACTGAAAAAGATAACCCTCCATGAAAACATGTCTCTGATTTCTATCGTGAGCTTTTTTCGATTGGATTCTGCCTGAACAATGACTTTTTCAAAATCTAATGATAAAAGAACATCCCGATGTGATTTTAGAATGAAGCCTCTGGTCATGGAATTTCATATCGCTCATCTTTGATTCGAAATGCTTTATTGTTGTTGTTTCCTCATGTGCCAATGTTTCAGTTATCATCTTCATCGGGTAGTATTCCACATATGGAAACCGAATTACCACCACTAAACCTGAACGAAATCGTTAGTTTTTCACTTTTCTTATTTTTAGTTCATTATTATTCGCTACTACAAAAGGTCTATGAAATTAAGTTTCAGGCAGTTTCTGACAACTTATCCACCGGCGTTTCTTCTAATTCATCTTCAGAGCTGGCATTTGAAGATTCCAAAAGGTAGCTTTCTCTTCACCATATAGTTTACACTAATTCTACACAGTTCCATCGATGTGGAGACACATAGACATTTGACTGGAGATATGGATAATGAGACTTTCCAGAATGAGGATCCTCTCGAAAAATCGATTGATGAGGAAATTGAACGATTGAAAGAGATAGCAAGGAATCTGAATATCACTGATATGGAAAGGTGAGAAGCTATCATGCAATTTCCTAGAATTATAATTTCAGATTGAATTTGAGAACGGATATGCAGGACTCAGATATACCCAATGGTTGGCATAACCCCATAAATTATACGTTTGAATTGGAACAATATATGCAAAAAGAAAAGTATTTTCATATATTCTTTCTTTCTCTCATTCCTTCTCCATAGCCTGAACCCCTTCGCTGATCCTTTCGAAGAAGATGATCGTCGATCTCGTATTGAAATGTGGGTGGAGAGCACATCTCCTGGTATTCCAGATTCTGACAATGATCCGGTACTCCATACTATTAGATAAAAATTATAACAAACTCATTAGGGGAATCCCATGCCAGATAGCGTGTCGGAAGATGCATCCTATATTCCAAGTTCTAGTGTTCAACAAATTCTCGTCCCAGAGGTGAAGTTTTGTTTTCAAACTAATTCCTGCAAATAAACATTATAAATGTGCTAGTTTAAGGTAAGAGTAGAGGAATGCTCAGAAAACAGCTTGAGTAGCCCTCCGATAACTGATTCAAAAGCCGACAAGTCTACAATGGAATCTAGTGTAAAACCAGTGGAACTTCTAGAAGTAAACCAGACATCCAATAATCTCACTCAATATTGCGTTTTAGAATGCGAAGGAATCCAAAATAGAGCGTATGGATTCTTTACAAACGGAAGAGTTCGCTAGCGAAACGACTTCTTTCATAAGTTCCGAGTTGGATAGAGTCAGCTTAGTAAGTTCTTCTCAAATTTTGAACAACATCTTCTGCTTTAGGTTAAAATGAACTTCAAAACTAATTTGGATAAGGCTCTGGAGGGGAATGATCAAACCATCCATATTAATGATATTGAGAGGTTTTGGGATTATCGTTACGCGTCAGCTGGAGAACCAGATGAGAAAGAAGAAGAACGTAATCAGGAACAAGAGCAAAATGCCAGATTGAAAGAAACATCATCTGCCCAATCCAATGTGCATAAGAATACGTTATCTCCTAAGGATTATCAGAATCACAGGTGCAGTTAATAACAAACTGGCGATATTTTGAATATGCGTATTCAACTCCAGAAGTCCTACTCCCACAGTCGAACGAGTTGTGCTCTATTATACTTCGGACAAAAGACCTTCCCTGACACCATCACCTTCTCCTAGTATTCTAACGGTAAGTGGTTTTCTTTATTTTCATATTTTCCATAAGCTAAACTCTACCCTTGTAATGTTTGTTCTCTCTGAATACCAAACTGGAATATGATATTGTTCTTTAATTTCAGCTGTCGCCAGGATGTAGTGAACGTGACCCTGTGGAGAAAAGTGATCATGAACAGGAGGATCCCAAATTCATTTTCCCTGTTATTCAGGTTTGATTTTTAATCTTTATAGCAAGGGGATTTATAATGTTCCTAAAAGTTAAAGAAGTTCTTATCAAAGCTTTTCAGCTCAGTTTCTAGTTCTTTCTCTGTATTTATGCTTATTTAGAATCCTCCCTCGTCAATTTTAATTGTTGTTGATGAAGATGAGTCAGATATCGACTTCGATTTGCCCGGTAGTCCAAATACCTGCTTGACTTCCGATGGATTAGAGAATGATGAGCAATCAGAAGATGAATCAAGAAAGATGGAAGAATATGTTCGAAATAAAAAGGTAAACTGCATAATTGGAATATTTTTAATTGCTCGTTCTCAGTTGCACTCGAGAAGCCATCGAAGCAAATCATCGTCATCGGAATCCTCAATTATCATTGGGGTTACCAACGATTTAACTCCGACACTCCGAAGTTCATACTTTCAATTGGACCAAGACTCGGCATCCGACTCTGAAGAAGGACATGTTGTTGACTTGGACGGCATAGGTAAAACAAGTTTTTCTCATCATAACTGAACCTTCAAACCTACTAACATGTAAACTTGTTCTCTTACTTTTACTGAACTTTTGAGTGATTTTTCGGAAAAACAGCGTCAGTACGTTCAAGAATCTTAACATGACTGACGTCGAGTGCATATAAGATAAAATCTGTTTTTGGAAAACTAAAAAGATAGGAAAGTTCTATTGATTATGAACGATCTTCTCAAGAATATGAATATAAGGAGGAAAAGAAGAGTTATATATTGTTCCTGATGATAGCTAGGAAACGTCATAAGACGACTGTAGTGATGCTCAATAATACTCTCGGATTTTCATCTTATCTCATCACCCTTCATCAATATATGAGGGAGAGACGTGTGCATTCGATCTGTATTATAAGACTCATCAAAGTCATTCACATACTAGTCGTAGAAAATATTATCAGTCAATACTTATTAAATACTTGATAGAATAGCTACCCACTGAAAATTTTGTATTTTTTTCAGAGTTCTCCATGACCTCCCTTCCAACAGCTGATAATGAGCGTCCTAAAATGGTTTCGCGTGCAACATCCACGAACGACTTAATCTTCGAAGAAGCGAATCGTAAAACAACATCAGTTAAAACGGAAAGTCGTCAACCTCAACAACCTGAGACGTCAATCTCTGCATTCCCATTAGAAAATAATTCCAAATATAGCGCTAAGAAAGCTGTAAACGTTCGCAAATCCGAAAGGCGGAGTCAATCATCAAAACGATATATAAACTGGAGATGGGAAAAGCTATCTCGGTTGTCGCCGAACGTCTCCTCTTCTACTAAAACTATAAGAAGCGAAATGTCATCTACACCAATTATTATTGAAGATAAAGTTAGTGATGACGATGTATCGTCTGCTGACCAGGATGTTGAATTGAGACTTTTCGACGGAAGGTATATTCAAATTCTCTAATAAATAATTAATCGTAATGTTTTCTTGTTTTCAGAGTTCTTGACAATATCGAGAGTTCTTCGACAGAAGATCTCTTGGCTCTAGACATAAGACCCAGCTCTGCAGGTCGCAAATCAGTGTCTTTCAGTGAGAAAGTAAGGCGTTCGGAAAAAATGAATATTTGATTTTTTATTCCCAGGTTAAGGAAGAAATTGTTTCCCCAGATTCGAGAAGGAAAAGTGTTCCTCCAACGTCTCCTGTATCACTTTGCGTGACTGCAAGACCAATTTTAAAGAAAGAAGACAAGCATCGCGAAACGTAAGTTTGTTTCGATCATGTAAAATGTATTCTCAACTGGGTATTATGTTGTTTGTTGATGTCATCCCGGGATAAACTAAGATAATGACATAAGAGGCTTCGAGCTTTATACCCGGCTGTGAACGACATACCTTTGCTCCAACATGAAAATAAATCCCGAACATTCTGATCGATTTATGCTTGAAAAAGCAATCCTCTTATGACATATTTCCTGTTACTAATCACTTGATTATTATTATGAATTTCTTCTTTCAGATTGCATAAACTAATGTGTCATGCTGCTGAAAGACTATATAAAGATTTGCGTATGCTTATTGAAGAAAGAGATCGCTCAGTTCATGCCATCGATTTAGTTCCAAATGATATCGGAGATCTGAGCGCACACTCAGGAACATATCAATCGGTATTGCATCTAACCTCATCTTGCTTATTCATTTCAATTTTTAAGCAATATCGAGAAAAACTTCTTCAAAATAAGGATGCACTGGATCGGCGAATTTCAGAAGTATGGATCAAGCTGAAAGAACTCCCGCTGGATAATTCTAAATCAAATTTCGTTTATAGTGTTAATGATAGCTCTTTATTAACACTTAATGCTAGAAGACGTATCTTACAACGAAGAATTTCATTTCAACAACCATCAATTGTAAGTATATTGCGTTTAACATCTTTATTTTATTATCCCTCATGCTTCAGAGCGATAGAGTTGGAAGATCGGATCATTTAGAAATGGCCTCTGATTATGCAACGAGGTTGGCGCATATGAGGGAACGTATGATTCGACGGGACTCAGAAGTTAGGAAAGAAGATGATAGGTATTCAGCTGTTCAGTACAAACCTTTCTATCTGTGTTTCCAGAAGTGTTGAAGAAATTTTACAGCGTGTTAGTCGGGCGCTTTACGGTTGAGTCATTCTTATAGAATGCCTAAATACCACATATTGTTCTTAATCTATATTTTTCGGTTTCTTCTTGTATATCTTATTGAATTCTATTCTTTTACGGGTTCGAAAAATAATCTTTTTTAAACAGATGTACAAGGTATTCTTCAAAAACTCATTCAGATTTTATCATTTTATTTGAATGCAAGAAAATAAAGTATTGATAATTGTTTTATACAAGCATTTTTTGTACAAGGAACACACAGAAGACAAGTTTACATATTTGAAACTTGTTAAATTCTTGACAAGATAATATCATACCAAAATGACATATAAAAGCGAAAGATCGAACACACTATACATTGCTCTTTGACCTGTAGAAGCTTTTAGCATGCTGGAGCAGGAACACTTACGACATCGTCCAAATCTTTTTTAACTGGAGCTGGTTCTGAGATGTTTTCCGCAACTGTTTCAGCAGTTGGGGCTTCAGCAACTGGAGCAGCTTCAGCAGCGGGGGCTTCAGCAACTGGAGCAGCTTCAGCAACGGGGGCTTCAGCAACGGGAGCAGCTTCAGCAACGGGAGCAGCTTCAGCAACGGGAGCAGCTTCAGCAACGGGGGCTTCAGCTACTGGAGCAGCTTCAGCAGCGGGGGCTTCAGCTACTGGAGCAGCTTCAGCAACGGGAGCAGCTTCAGCAACGGGAGCTTCAGCGGCTTGAGTTTCTGAAGAAGCTTCAGGAACAGCTTCAGCAGCTGGGGCTTCTGCAACGGGAACTTCAGCGACTTGAGTTTCTGGAGCAACTTCTTGAGTAGTTTCTGGAACAGCTTCTACAACAGGAGCTTCAGCGGCTTCTGGAGCGGGAGCATCGACAGGAAGAGCTTCCACTACAGGAGCTTCAGGAGTGGCATCGACAGCAGGTGCTTCAGCAGGAGTTTCTGGGGCAGCTTCAGAAACTGGACCTGAGGAAGATTCAGCAGCAGGAGTTTCAGCTACAGGAGCTTCTTGTACTGCAGTTTCGGCAGCAGCTTCAACGACGGGAGTTTCAACGGCTTGGGTTTCTGCAGAAGCTTCTGGAGTTGTTTCTGGAGCTGCAGCTTCAGTGGCTTGAGTTTCTATAGCAACTTCTGGGGCAGCTTCTGAAGCAGTCTCAACAGCGGGAGCTTCAGCGACTTGAGTTTCGGTAGCAACTTCTGGGGTGTCTTCTGGAACAGCTTCTACAGTAGGAGCTTCAGCTACTGTCTCGGCAGCAACATCAGCAACGGGAGCTTCAGCGGCTTGAGTTTCTGGAGATGCTTCTGGAACAGCTTCCA